GGGACAAATGTATAATGGCATATATCCGCCTTTCTATTGCACAGAATACTTTCACTGTCCAAAAAATCCTCTATGCTCTGCCTATTCATCCCTCCCTCCCCCCAACCCCTGGCAACCACTAATCTTTTTACTGTCGCACAGTTTTGCCTTTTTCAGAATGTCCTACGGTTGGAATCATACAGTATGTAGTCCTTCAGATTGGTTTCTTTCACTTAGTAATTTGCATTTAAGATTCCTTCATGTCTTTTCATGGCTTGATAGTCTATTTCCTTTTAGAGCTGAATAATTTTTCATTGTCAGGATGCACCACAGTTTGTTTATCCATTCACATACTGAAGAATATCTTGATTGCTTACAAGCTTTGGCAAGTACGAATAAAGCTTGTATAAAAATTTGTGCACAAGTTTTTGTGTAGACATCAGGTTTCAATTCATTTGGGCAAATACCAAGAGGTGTGACTGCTGGATTGTGTGGTAAGAGTATGTTTAGTTTTGTAAGAAAATGCAAAATTGTCTTCAAAAGTGGCTGTACCATTTTTGCACTCCCAGTAGCAATGTATGAGCATTTCTGTTGCTCCACATCCTTACCAGCATTTGGTGTTGTCAGTGTTTTGGATTTTGGTCATTCTAATAGGTGTTGAGTGGTATCTCATTGTTTTAATTTGCAATTTCCTAATGACATATGATGTTGAACATATTTTCATATTTATGTCTTCTTTGTTTAAGGTCTTTTGTCCATTTTTAAATTGGGTTCTTCATTTTCTTATTGTTGAGTTTTAAGTGTTCTTTGTATATTTGGGATAAGGATGCTTGATCAGGTGTGGTTTTTGCAAATATTTTCTCCCAGTCTTTGGCTTGTCTTCTCATTCTCTTGACATTATCTTTCTCAGAGCAGAACTTTTTAGTTTTAATGAAGTCCAGCTCATCAGTTATTTCTTTCTTGGATTGTGCATTTTGTGTTGTATCTAAAAAGTCACCGACATACCCAAGGTCATCTAGGTTTTCTATTATGTTATCCTCTAGGAGTGTTATAGCTTTGCATTTTACCTTTAGGTCTATGATCCATTTTGGGTAAATTTTGTGAAGGGTATAAGGTCTGTGTCTAGATTCTTTTTTTTTTTGTATGTGGATGTCCAGTTGTCTAACAATCATTTGTCAAAAAGACTATCTTTTTTCCATTATATTGCCTCCTTTGCTCCTTTGTCAAAGATCAGTTGACTATGTTTATGTCAGTCTATTTCTGGGCTCTCTATTCTGTTTTATTTATTTGTCTTTTTTTTTTTTTTTTTTTTTGCCAGTGCCACACTGACTTGATTATTATAGCTTTATAGTATGTCTTGAAGTCAGATAGAGTCAGTCCTCTGACTTTGTTCTTCTCCTTTAGTACTGAATTGGCTATTCTGGGTCTTTTTGCCTCTTCATGTAAACTTTAAAATCAGTTTGTTGATATCCACAAAGTAACTTGCTGGGATTTTGATTGGGAAAGTGTTGACTCTATAGGTCAATTTGTAAAGAACTGACATCTTGACAATATTGAGTCTTCCTATCCATAAACATGAACTATCTCTACATTTATTTAGCTCTTCTCTGATTTCTTTCATTAAAGTTTGTAGTTTTTCTCATATAGATATTGTACATATTTTGCTAGATTTATACCTAAGTATTTTATTTTTTGGGGTGCTAATGTAAATGGCAATGTGGTTTTAATTTTAAATTCCACTTGTTCATTGATGGTATATAGGAAAGCAATTGACTTTTGTACATTAATCTTGTATCTTGCAATCTTGTAATAATTGCTTATTAGTTCCAGGAATCTTTTTATTGATTCTTTCATATTTTCTACATAGATAATCATGTCATCTATGAACAAAGTTTTATTTCTTCCTTCCCAATCTGTATACATTTTATTTGCTTTTCCTGTCCTATTGCATTAGCTAGGACTTCTAGTACGATGTCTAAAAGAAGTGTTGATAGGGGACATCCTTGCATTATTGCTGATTTTAGTGAGAAAGCTTCTAGTTTCTCACCATTAAGTATGATATCTGTGGGTTTCCTGTAGATGTTCTTTATCAAGTTGAGGAAGTTCCCTTCTATTCCTAGTTTGCTAACAGTTTTTAACACGAATGGGTATTGGACTTTGTCAAATGCTTTTTTTGCATCTATTGATATAATCATTTGATTCTTATTTTTTAGCCTGTTGATGTGATGGATGACACTAATTGATTGTCGACTGTTGACCCAGCCTTGCATACCCAGGATAAATCCCACTTGGTTGTGGTATGTAATTCTTTTTACACATTGTTGGATTCAATTTGTTAATATTTTCTTGAAGATTTTTGCATCTATGTTCATGAGAGATATTGATCTGTAGTTTTCTTTTCTTGTAATGTCTTTGATTTTGGTATTAAGGTAATGCTGGCCTTATAGAACAAGTTAGGAAGTATTCCCTCTTCTTCTATCTTCTGAAAGAGATTATAGAGAACTCATATAATTTCTTCTTTAAATGTTTGGTAGAATTCACCAGCAAATCCATCTGGGCCTGGTGCTTTCTGTTTTGGAAGGTTATTAATTATTGACTCAATTTCTTTAATAGATATAAGCCTATTTAGACAGTCTATTTCTTCTTGTGTGAGTTTTGGCAGATTGTGTCTTTAAAGGAATTGGTCCATTTCATCTATGTTATCAAATTTGTGGGTATAGCGTTGTTCATAATATTCTTTTATTACCCTTTTAATGTCTGTAGGATCTGTAGTGATGTCTCTTCTTTCATTTATGATATTAGTAATTTATGTCTTCTCTCTTTTTCCTTCGTGATCCTGGCTAGAAGCATATCAATGTCATTGAGCTTTTCAAAGAACCAGCTTTTGGTGTCATTGATTTTCTTTACTGATTTCCTGCTTTCAATTTCATTGATTTCTGCTCTAATTCTTATTATTTCTTTTCTTCTGCATATTTTGGATTTAATTTGCTTTTTATTTCTAGCTTTATAAGATGGAAGCTTAGATTATTGATTTTAGATGGTTCTTTTCTAATACGTGCATTCAGTGCTATAAGTTTCCCTCTAAGCACTGCTTTCTCTGCATCTCATGAATTTTGATAAATTGTATTTTCAGATTTTCATTTAGTTTAAAATATTTAAAAATGTCTCTTGAGAGTTCTTCTTTGATCTATGTGTTATTTAGAACTGTATTGTTTAATCTCCAAGTATTTTGGGATTTTCCAGCTGTCCTTCTGTTATTGACTTCTATTTTAATTCCTTTGTGGTCTGAGAGCAGACATTGTATGATTTCTATTTGTTTAAATTTGCTAAAGTGCGTTTTGTGGCCCAGAATGTGGTCTATCTTGGTGAATGTTCCAATGAGTTTGAGAAGAATGTGTAATCTGCTGTAGTTGGATTAAGTAGTCTCTAGATATTAATTATATTCAGTTGATTGATGGTGCTATTGAGTTCAACTTTGTCCTTACTGATTGATTCAGAGATGGATTTGTCCATTTCTGATGGGGGGTGTTAAAGTTCCCAACTATAATAGTAGATTCATCTATTTCTCCTTGCAGTTCTATCATTTTTTCCCTCATGTATTTTGACACTCTGTTGTTATGTGCATACATACTAAGAATTGTTATGTCTTCTTAGAGTACTGACTCTTTTATCATTATGTAATGCCCTTTTTTTTTTTTTTTGGCTCGAGGAAGATTAGCCCTGAGCTAACATCTGTGCCAACCTTTCTCTACTTTATATGTGGGTTGCCGCCACAGCATAGCTGATGAATGGTGTAGGTCTGTGCCTGGGATCTGAACCCACGAACCTGGGCCGCCTAAGTGGAGTGTGCCAAACTTAACCACTAGGCCATGGGTCTGGCCCCCACACAATGTCATTTTTATCCCTGAAAACTTTCTTTGTTTTGAAGTCTGCTTTGTCTTATATTAATTTAGCTATTTCTGCTTTGTTTTGATTAATGTTAGCATGGTGTAACTTTCTCCATCTCTTTACTTTTAATCTAAATGTATCTGTATATTTAAAGTGGGTTTCTTGTAGACAACATATATTTGGGTCTTATTTTTGATCCACTCTGACAATCTCTGTCTTTTAATTGGTATATTTAGTCCTTTGACTAATTATTATTATATATTTGATATATGATAATTATTATTATATTATAATAATATTTATCTTTCCTCAGGGAAGGGCCTGAGGCCCCCTAACCCATTTCCTCCAAATACAAATTTAGAGGTAACCTATTGCCTATCATCTATTAGGGTAGCATGATTGAGATTCATAGGAAAGGGCATCCAAACAGGAACTTGTGCTGAGGTAAAGCAGTGTTGGGTCTAGGTTCCTGACTTAGCTTAATACAAGGGCCCAAAGCTTGTTCCACAGGGGCTGGCTCTAGCATAGGTTGTGGCTGAAGCCATTAGGTTCACTGGAACTGGCTAACCTGGCACAGTATTGTGCTTTGGGATCCAGAGCTGAGCACACGCACACGAGGGTGAACTAATAGAGCTGTTACTCTGGAATCCTGGCTAAGGTGCCACAGAAGTCCACAGAGGAGATGGACTAACAGGAATGTTACCTAAGTAATGGGTCAATATTCCACAGCAAAGTCACGTGGCAGTGACTGTGAACCGATTAGATGTGCCCATTCACTGTGCCTCAAAGTATAACACACTATTCTGGATTGAGTAAATACCTGAGATTCTTGGACAATGAGGGGGGATGCGGAAAAGACTTTAGGAGGGAGAAAATGGACTTTCTACTAATAAAGGCATGTGTGGTCTTGAGCAATGAATCTATACCTTGAACATGTCAAATAACTCATATGGATTACTCTTTTAAAAATGACCAGACATATGTCACCCCCGAGAACCTGTGGTAATCATTTTAGTTGACTGAGGCATTAAGAAAACATTAAGGAAGAATCAAAGGAGATGGACCAAGGAGTGAAAGGAATTTTGGGCAAATAAAACAGGAGGAGAAGGGGTGCTACAGTCCCCTCTACTCACGGGGCTGATGTGCATTCCAGTGTGTGAACCGCACTGGCTCAGACTCTGGCCCTGCTGTCTTCCAAGTGTATTCTCCTGTGTCATTTTGGTCTTGAAGAGCTATCCAAAAATAACTGTTCTTCGTTTTTACCACAGTACTGATCAAACTGGTAATAAAAGCCTGTTCAAACCTTAAAAAGGGAAAAAGGAAATGGTTACAGTAAGTTTCTGGGCAATAAAAAATGTCATTAAAACATAACAAGGTGCACAGAATGGCACCAGAGTAAGCAGTTCTCATGAATGCTTTAGAACATGGAGCAGAAAAATACCCAAAGACCCTAAACATTACTAATAAATGCCAAATAGTGCAATTCCCAGAAATACATGAGTGAGGAGAATTTGACTCTTACAGACAAGGCTTAAATCTTTCAAGGAATAAAGTCCAGCTCCAGTTTCAGAGGGTAGGTGATAAAGTCCACAAAGCTAGCAATATATCTCTTGGGGCAACATGTGCACTATTTTGTAGTTAGGCCACACAGCACACACCATGCCATAATATGTGTGTGATGGAGAGTTGGCAGAGGGGAGGAGAAAGGATATTATGCTTTTCTGAATGAGCATCTACCAACATAAAGTTCACATGCACCCACCCACCATACTTGCCTGGTGAGAATGGAACAGAGATTAGAGTAGTATTTTTATGTCTCCCAAATCAGTTCACAGGCACATGGAGTCCTTGGCTTATTCAAATGTGTTCCGATGTGCATATTCACTGAAGATAAATTTAAAACTCTAGGAATGAATCCAAGGAAGTACACCCACTAATATTTTCCCCAAACAGCTGAATGAATTAGTGTTCATTGATTTTGGTGGCAATGCTTCCTTCCCAACACAAGTACATCAAAAACAGAATCTAGAAAACTTGTATCTATGCTTCCACATGAATACCAATAGATAGACGTGAGTATTAAAATTTAACTAGCATTGAAAATTTAAGCTAAGTTGGAAACTATCTTGAAAAATTTATTTTCAATACATATAAAGTTTTGGAGAAATACATTTCAAACAGTGATTTTTGGGCCGACTTGCTGAATCAATGGGAAAGGAAAGGCCTGATGAAATTACCCAGGAAACCTAAGGAGGAAGCATATTAGACTTTTTCATTCGATTTTGGATTTTTTTATTACCATGCATCCTTAACTTGCTAAGGGAAGCAAAAGCAGTGGGGTCATTCAAGAACAGAGAAATCTCAAAGGAAACAGGGGAGAAAAGGAGAAGAGAACACAAGGAAGAAAGATTTTTAACCGCCTTATGAGCAGCACTAGTAACATTTAGTGATCTGAGGCATCCATGATAGTCATCTTTGCAGAGCATATGCATGTTCATCAAGCTTTAGTAAATACTTTCTGCAGATACTCTATTAATAATCTAAACAACGCACATCTGAAATTAGAAAAGTTCTTTTTTAATCAGATTGCCGTGGCAGAACCTTATGTAAATATGCTTCAACAGGAAGGTATATAAAACTAAATATTGTCTAGATACTGTTGTGATTTTCCTTACACTTCCATTGGTTCATGCTCTTCTAACATAGGATCTGCTTTTCCTTCTCCCCTCTGAGGCACAGTAGCATCATTATCATGCCCAGCTGGTGCCTGAAACTGCTGTGCTAGGAGGCCAGCAAGGCGTTTAGACTTGCCCACGGAGGCTATGGCCAGGACCACTAGTCACTGTACTGGTTCTAAATCCAAGGGGCACTGCTGGTTCTTCCATTACCTTGTACAATGGCATTTATCTGATAATGGAGAGAAATAACATTATCTGCGAACTTGGCCTCTGGTGTCATTATTCATGACAACATTTTGCTTTTGTCCCTTGTTGGTTTTAGATTTATTTAGTTCACTCTGATTTGCTGTTTTAGCACCATTTATCATTGTTTAAAACAATAGAAGCCTTCTGCTTTTTGAATTGGCAAGTGTGTCTCTTAAGTAGTTGCATATAATACTCATACATTAAATCCTAAAACCTTCAAATCAAAACAGGACTCTAGTTTTCTTGGTCTAGTTTAGAAGATGGTATTGTTAATAAAGTAATTCAGCAAACATGTCTTTCTTCTAAACCATACATTCTAAGAAATGAACTCTGGAGAACAGTATGCAATCTCTTGAGTGTCTGTTTCCAACTGATAAAGAAACAAGAGAATATTTTATATTCTTTACCACTCACTATTTGGTTTCAAACACTAAAGGGGTTGTGAAAAAACTCTGGCTTATGGAAATAGAGCAGATGACCTTTCAAAGTCTTTTCTGGCCCTGTGTTTTAGAATTCTTCATTTGAGACTATTCCATAGTTTTATAGCATCTGTCCTTTTTGTCTGTTTTCACTGAGGTTGTTTAATTCAAATGTTGTTATGATTTAAGGAACAAAAAATAACCAAATGTACATGTTTTTTATATTATTATTTGAACCAAGATAACATGTTACTTCTAAAGAATTCAGTAAAATAACAACTTTATTATTCTTTAGAAAAACAAATGATAAAATATTTTGCTTGTGTGTACCCACTTATAAGATCAAATTTTGTACAGGAATAATTCTTAGAATCTGAAAGAAATTAATTTTTCCAATCAACTCCTTAAAAAAGTTTAGAAATCAACTGTGTGTTTTCAGTGTAAACAAGAAAATTATATCTTGAACTTCCATAGGTTTGACATGAAATTGTTGCTCATGGTGCTAAACATTAAATTTTAATCAACTTGAAGACAGCGATACTATTTGGGGCATATATTGACAAGTTTTTTCATTTCAAAATAAATATTTGGCATTTCAAAAAATGCACACTTCAAAAGGAAGTATTTTATACTTAAATCTCAAATTGAACACTATATTTATTCAGCAGTTTAGCTAGTGACATATGTAGCTAAAAAAAAAAGTTTCCTGTCTGTGAACAACACAGTACTTAGCAGATAGCAGTACTATAATGATTGTGTTTGTATTACTTAAAATAAGAAATTGAAAAAAAGTAATGCATTGGAAGTAGCTTCACTAGAGAGCTATTTCAATTTAAAAAATAGTGGTAGTCTTTATATATAATGATCCAGTTAAGAGACACTCAGGGGGCCAGCCTGATGGCATAGTGGTTAAGTTTGCATGCTCCACTTCAGTGGCCCGGGGTTCACGGGTTCAGATCCCAGGCGTGGATCTACACACCATTCATCAAGCCATGCTGTAGCGGCGTCCCACATACAAAACAGAGGAAGATTGGCACAGATGTTAGCTCAGTGACAAAGTTCCTCAAGCAAAAAGAGGAAGATTGGCAACAGATGTTAGCTCAGGGCCAATCTTCCTCACCAAAAAAAACAAAACAAAACAGAGAGAGACTCAGCTACGAACTGAGTAATTGCTACTGGATTTCTCCCAATAACACAATTGTTAACATTTTTGTTGCCATTTTCAAATAACTGACTCTATTGCTGAACTAATATAACAATGATAAATTTATTTTTCTTTTAAATAAAGACTAGAAATAGAGTATCAGTTTTAAAGTGGGAGACACACATCATGATCATTCTCGCAAGAAGTTTCTGATGGCATTCCTCAAGAACTAGAAATGTGAAGTTTTTGGATATTGTTTCTTGCAAAAGACTAGAAGAGAAATATAGACTTGGAAGATATACTTAACATATACACAAGAAATAAACCTGGAAGAGCAAATTCCAAACTGTTAATGGCAGTTACCTTTGGGGAGGGGAGTGGGATTGGTTGGGGGGGGAGGGAGTGAGGAGGCACTTTCACTTTTTTGTCTATATTCTTCTGGCTTGCTTGAATTTGTACCAATGGGGATGTTCTTATTGCCTAATTTTAAAGAGGGTAACTAAAATGTGTTTTTAAAAAGAAAATTAGCTTCTTTCTACCAAAAAACCCTGTTAGAACTAATAAATGAATTTAGCAAAGTTGCAGGATGCAAAGTCAATGCACAAAAATCAGTTGCATTTCTATATACTAACAATGAACAATCTGAAAAGGAAACTAAGAAAACAATTCCATTTATAATAGCACCAAAAAGAATAAAATACTTGGGAATAAATTAAACCAAGGAGAGTGAAGACTTGTACACTGCAAACTGCAAAACATTGCTGAAAGAAATTAAAGAAGATGCAAATAAATGGAAAGATATCATATGGTCATGGATTAGAAGACATTGTTAAAATGTCCACACTACCCAAAGCTGTCTACAGATTGAATGCAATCCCTATCAAAATCCCACTGATAGTTTCTGCAGAAATAGAAAAATCAATCTTGAAATTCATTTGGAATTTCAAGTGATCATGAACAGCAAAAACAAATATGAAAAAGAAGAACAAAGTTGGAGGTCTCACACTTCCTGATTTCAAAACTTCCTAAAAAGTACAGTAATCAAAAGAGTGTGGTACTGGCATAAAGAGAGACATTTAGACTGATAGCATAAATAAACCAGAAATAAACCTTTGCACATATGGTCAAATGATTTTTGACAAGGTTGCCAAGACCATTCAGAGGGAGAAGGACAGTCTTTTCAACAATGATGTTAGGAAAACTAGATATTCACAGGCAAAAGAATGAAGTTGGACTCTTACCTTACACCATTTACAAAAATTAACTCAAAGTGGATCAAAGACCTAAATGTAAGAGCTAAAGCTATAAAACTCTTAGAAGAAAACATACGGGAAAAGTTTCATGACATGGAATTTGGCAATGATTTCTTATATATGACACCAGAAGCACAGTCAACAAAATAAGAAATGGATAAATTGGGCTTAATAAATATTAAAAACTTTTATGCATCAAAGGACACTATGAAAAGAGTGAAAAGGCAACCCACAGAATAGGAGAAAATACTTGCAAATTATGTATCTGATAATGGATTAATATCCAGAATATATAAAGAACCCCTACAATTCAACAACAGAGAACAGACACTCCCATTCAAAAATGGGCAAAGGACTTGAATAGACGTTTCTTTAAAGAAGATATACAGATGGCCAATAAACACATGAAAAGATGCTCAACAATACTAATCATTAGAGAAATGCAAATCAAAACCACAATGAGATACCATTTCATACCCATTAGGATGGCTATTATCAAAAAAACAGAGAAGAACAAGTGTTGGCCAGGCTGTGGAGGAATTGGAACCCTTGTGGCCTGCTGGTGAGAATCTAAAATGGTGCAGCTGCTATGGAAAACAGTATGGCTGTTCCTCAAAAAATTAAAAATGGACTTATCATATGATCCAGGAATTACATTTCTGGGTATATTACCCAAAGGAATTGAAAGTAGGGACTTGAAAGATATTTGTTCATTCATATTGATAGCAGGATTATTCACAATAGCCAAAAGGTGGAAGCCACTCATGTCTATCAATGGATGAACGGATAAACAAAATGTGGTACATACCTACTATGGAATATTATTCAGCCTTAAAAAGGAAGGAAATTCTGACACATGATACAACAAGGATTAATCTGGAGGACATTAGGCTAAGTGAAATAAGCCCAGCACAAAAGGCCAACTATTGCATGATTCCACTTATGAGGTAACTAGTCGTCAACCTCATAGAGATGGAAAGTAGAATGGTGATGGCCAGAGGCTGGGGGCAGGAGAGAATGGGGAGTTATTGTTTAATGGGTATAGAATTTCAGTTTGGGAAACTGTAAAGAGTTTTGGAGATGGATGGTGGTGATGGTTGCACAATAATGTGAATGTACTTAATGCCACTGGAAATGGTTAAAATGATAAATTTTATGTTATGTATATTTTACTGTAATAAAAAAATTTAGCTGCAAAAATGTTTGGGGGATATGGTGGTTGCGGGAAAATGGTAGAGCTGTAAAAATGCTTGAAAATAACGCACATTTAAACTTAAGAGAAAATTAGATACTGCAGGATTTCTCACTTTTGGCAAAATTCACAAAATCTAATGTCATTTGGATTTTTTGTACCAAATATTCTATGGCTGATCCAAGATGTAAATATACATGCATTTAGGCAATTATCCATGACCACTCTGAAACTCAAGTTTTGTATTCATGATTTGTCTGGAAGCAAAGTGGCCAGGCCTGAAAAAATTTTGTGACAGTTAGCAAGCAAATAAAATTCTGTTATTCAGCAATAAGGGTCTGTTTTTCTTCTCCTCTCTATTCCACAAAGTGTTAAAAGTTCTAGACCAGGAGCAGTTGCCCGATTACAAAAGAAATACGTAATTCGTAGCAGGTGGTTCTAATTGTGCCCATCAAACCTGTCGCTCAATTGTGCAGAAGAGTGGAAAATCAATTAGCAACTACAAGCTTGGGTACTGGTGAGTGACAGGAGTGTTTTAACTCAAACAGGAAATCAGTAATGGAAGAAAATGATTACCACGGCTGCTAGTGGACATCCTGGATCTGAGGAGGCTTTCCATCTACTGTCCAACCTTCTCAGACAAAAGATGCTGTTGAAAAATACTCGAACATGCGTTGTCACTCAAAGAGCAGTACCGTGTGGGTCTTTGTTTCTTACCTGATGGGGTCTGAATGAATACAAATCAAGAGCATGAGGCCCTTCCTTTCCTCAACTTGCATGTCCCGTGTTGGAGGCACTACTTTGGTTGTAGACATGTTTGCAGGGCAGTATGCATGTTAACTGCCTCAGAGAGATGCCTCACTGGGGCTAAAGTGCAGTACTGAGGGGGCTTGGCTTGGTGACTGAGTAGCATGTCAGTGCAAGGTCACCTGGGTAGGCCTAGGAGGTTGTGGATGGGATGAAAACAAATTTACCTAAGCCATAGTTCTGCTAAAGACTGGCTAATTGGTATTGGCTACTGAATAAGAATTAGTTTTGGCTACTAAATAAGAAACATTAATATTGGCTATTGAATAAGAAAAAGTTTAAAGTATTCACAGCATACTCTTATATCAAGTTTTGGGAGAAGGGAAACAGAGTAGATTTTTCCCCAACACTCTCTATCATTTGCATGAGGTCCCAAGGGTTCTTAGAAAAGGAAGCATTTGCATTCTAACAGATTTCTGCCTTAACCTTGGGTCACTTTGGCACTGTGGGTTATCTACAATGTTACTCTGAGTTTAACCATTTATTGTGCTATTCCACCTTCTTCACTTGTTTCATGGGTCTGTGTTCTATCTCTATAGCTGCTGGCCTGCAAGTGGCACCAGGACAATTACACCATGCCTTTTATTTCGTTCATACAGCATGTCAGTGTTTAATATGGTGCCTCTCATAATATAGATATTCAATAAATAATTTTCTGATAAACTCTTGACTATTGATTTTTTGCACAGTCAGATGACATATGAAAAGTAATTAACACAGCGCCAGGTATGTGACAGGCACTCAATGAATATTACACAAAAAAAGGAAAAGAAAGAATAAGATATAAAAAACAGGTGAAACAATTAGACTTATTTTTCTTCAGTGAAAAACATAATTAAATTATAATTAACAAAAGAGCATAGCTTCACTGGTCAGCCTCCTGAATTAAGTCCAATGTTGACTCACTGACTAGAGGACTTCCAACCCAAGGTGCTCTTGAACCTTTTGGGTGGGTGAACAAGTTGAGGATAAAGGCTTCCATCTGCCTGGTAGCTATTCAGGGAAGGAGAAAGGTAGAACTAAAAACAACAGCAAGATACATCAAAGGTGGTGCTATACCCTGAAGGAAGGACTCTTGCTGAGCATTTAAATAAATCCCTGAGGTAATTTATTCTGCCAAATGCTGTCAATCTATTCCTCTGTGTGTGTGTGTGTGTGTGTGTGTGTGTGTGTGTGTGCATTGTTTGGAAGAAAGAATGGGAAAGAAGGCAAGAGGTAAGAGGAGCACGGAAATACTGGCAGCTTTGAATGTTGACTTCCTACGTGGAGAGAGCAGAGAAAGCACACGGGAATTCCTCCTACAGGTTAGACCTACATGTGAAGGGTCGCTAGAGAAAACCACAGCACCAGTGTCCTGTTTCCTGGTCTTCAGTCGGTATTTTTAAAGGCAATGGACTCTGTGAAAAAGCAAGTGACTAGCTTTGCAGGTATAATCTCTCATGGAACCACTGGAGACCTTCAGCAAGGAGGAGTTGGTCTCCCAGCCCTCACTGTCTTCCTGGCATGGATAGTGACACTGAGGTCACTTCTGCTGTTGGTACTTTTATTCCGTCTTGTGCATCTGTAGCATGTTGCAAATTGTGTGGAGTGTGAAAAGGCCACAGCTTCTTTGTAAGCATCGAGGAGACAGCTGTGCACAGACCTTTGGTAAGAACTCCAGGAGACAGCTGTGCACAGAGAAGTCTAAATCTAAACAGACATAGACCTAAGAAGCAATGGGGAAGCATTCGAATATCCTCCACAGTTGAGTTATACTTATTTTTGTTCTTGAAAAAAACCCACATGACTCACATTACATGAAAAAAATACTTGTGTTAAATAACATATTTCTTTTGCATTACAAGCACTTAGAAGCTAAAATCTAAATACAATGGAATATATTAGCAAAGCTAGATAAATAATAAATCTTGATGGAAAGTAAAAGTCACCTTAAATTTTACTATTCGTTACTCAAAAATCAATTTAGGAATAACACTGTATGATTTAAATTCATCTCAATCAATAATTTAAATAATTTAATACTTTAATGTATAGTACACTTTAGATTTTGACAAGTTACTGATTCTGGCCAGATTTTATCATTCCAAGAGCCCTCATGTCAAAAAAGCACAGTTATATTTCTGACAGAAAATTTCTATTTTACCTATTTGTGATGGTTATAAGTGCAGGAGGACAGTAATAACCACTGGAGGCGTGGCCAAAGCTTCGAAGGACAGTATCAACTTTGTAACAGAATCCACCATGTCTCTCCCATCCCTTAAGAAATGAAAAGGAAAATTAAGGACATAATCTGGTTTATTTGAATGCAAAATATCATTTTTTGTGTATTTTCATTCACCACTTACATGACTTTCTTCTCTGACCCACTCAAAACTCCAAACTTGAATTTTTGTCTTGATAGCTTTATATTTATTCTATCTGGTAATGCCATTAGCTATAGCAACTTCCACATTTATTTAATTAATTCTTAAAACCTACAATTTTTAACTAACTTAAAATCTTAAAACCTAAAATCTTAAAAGCAAATGAAAATAAAGGGGCACTTACTCAAGATCTCTCTCTCTCTTACACACACACACACACATATACACACACACTCTGTTCAGACATATAGAATTTCATACAAATGGTTCCTACAAGTTGGTAGAAATTAAGTGTTGGCTCTGAAGAGAGAAAGCATAGGTTTGAATCCTGCCTCTACCACTATGAGACATTATTTAATCTCTCCATATCTTAGTTTTCTCCTCTGTAAAATGGGGTAATTATAGTACCCATAGGGCTGTGCTGAGAATCAAAGGGAGACATTGCAGGCAGAGACCTTAGAATAGAGCCAGGGACTCAGTATGAGCAAAGAAGACATAGGTATCTAGATATATTGTATTTTTTTTTCAACTTTCTTTCATATTGCCTATTTCATATCATCCCATTGAGATTCACTGAGTTTAGGGGTTTGGATAAGTCCCTTAGTGGATAAGCTGGCCTGGAACCCAATGCTGGTACAATCCAGGATGGTCTTGGCTGGATCATAATGCTGCCAAATACAGAATGGCCAAAATTTTTTTTTTGGTAAAGATGATCACTAAATCAACTGGCTAGCCTTTTAGAGAGTAAGAAAGCAAGTTTTGGCATTCAGACAAAAATGACAAATGTGTAGCTCCATGGCTCAGCTCTGGGAGCAATGAAGGGTGGCTCTGTTCTTTAAAATCATACGGTACAGGAGACATGCCTTCATTCGTCTTCTATATTTCAACTGAGTTATTTTAGTTCTTTTTCTTCCCGTATTACAAAATCACATCACTTATATCTATCTATTTTTACGTATTCCTCAGTTTTAAAATACACTTCATTTTGTGCTGTGCTACTACTTGCCAGATTTTGATCAGATATACAATGATTTCTAATATATATTTCTTGGAAAAGGTCTCGGTCTTCCAGTAAATTAAAGAAAACCTTATTTTAGAAGTCAGCTATTTTAGTTCAAAACATATTATTAAATGAAGTGTGAATCACAGGAGTTCCACATCCAGCCAGCCAGGTTGTGCACTGAACTCACTCCCTCAACTTCTCCCCCAACCTTATCTGTGTGAGTAATTGACAGCTCCGGCCAGAGCCCTCCCTCAATCACTCCAGATGGGGCAGAGAGGTTACACTACTTTTGTATTTGGAAGGAGAGGCAGAGGAAGTCTGACAATTTGACCTTTCTAACAAAGTATTCCTTCTTCATTAGTAGTTTTTAGATCACAGGCTGCTTAGCAAAACAAAAAATCCAAGAATTGACCAGGCCCAAGAAAAGGGTAGGGGGGAAAGGTGGCATAGTAATAACTAGAAAAACAAAGACTCTTTACTACTACTCTTTAAGCCTTTGTCCACACAGTGAAAGTGGGAAGAATAACTGATTGTATCTGTGAATATCCTTTGTACATGAGGTACCATTTCATTTTAAATGAAATGATGATAACAATACTGAAACAATGGCTCATATTGTCCAATCCCAAAAAAGTGACTCAGAGGGAAGAATAAATCTTTTTTTTTTTTGCTTTGAAATTATCAAGACTTATTTTATAAGCTGATTTTGCGTGTGCTGACTGTTTAGATAATTGCATTGAAGCAACTGGCTAAAAGAAAAGAAACTTTCAAAACCATAGACTGATGCATAAAAAAACTAATGGGAATTTTGCCATAAAGAAAACTGGGTCTGTACTCAGAATCTTTAAATACTGGTAATGCTGGCCAGAAAAGGGAAGCAGTATACAAAAGTTTGACTAGAACATCATTTCTGTTTCTGCTATGTATGAAGTTAATTGCCCTTTCAAGACAAATAACACATGTTGAGTTGCCTTGAAAGCCACACAGTAAGACAATTTTTTCCCAATATTTCTATTCAGATAGAGATTAGATCAGTGATCAGCTATAACTAATTCGGGAATTATAATCATTAGATAAAATGTTCGGTAACATGTCAGCTATGGCACATGTATTGTTCAGCTAGAGTATGAAGATAATTCATATGTTTACACATTAACGAATGTGATTAACGAATAAAATACAGTTTCTGGAGAGATGCATTATTGTTTAATTAGAACATAAATAATTGGGCTAGAAGAAAAAATAATTAAAGCAGAATTTCATAAAAATCAGGTTTGGAAAATTTTTGAGACTCATACAGCATAAAAATCTCCAATATTTAAATCCAAATTCTTTAGTGTGTGTGTGTGAACTAGAGAGAGAGAGAGAGAGCGACACAGAGAGAGAGAGAGAGAGAGAGAGAGAGAGAAAGAGAGACAGAGAGAGAGAGAGAGAATGCATGTGCTGAAGACACTGATAGGTGGATTTTTTTGTAACTCTACTGCAGGAAATTGAATGTATTTTAAGAAATTTAAAACAAATAATTTTCTACCTCAAGTTTAAAGGTAAAGTATGAAGTATTTTTTATTACTTAAAGTACTGAAAATACTTTATTACTTAAAATACTAAAGTATTTTTTATGATTTCTTTCCCAAATAATAAATATATTGCAAACATGCACTTCTCTCCATTATTGTATGCTATTCAGAAAAGTGAACAGGAAAGCAAAACTCTGGGTGCAGAAGTTCACTCTCTGACTCAAAGGAGTGCATTCATTTTCACTCTGACATCCCACTGGAAGACCATGAACCACGTGTGAGACAGGGCTTCACGTGACACACATTGTTTGTACAGATGGTACAACAGGATCATTTATATTTTTTATATCATAAGAAAAGTAATCTTAGGTCAAAGAGGATGGCAAGACAATAATCCTTTGTAGAGCTGTAAATCCTTCAGGTGCCTCTAGCTGATAATGGTTTGGTTTGTTTAAAAGAGCCCACACTCAGAAAAAAAGAGGAAGGAAGGAAAGAAAGAGGAAGGGAGGGAGGGAAAAGAGAGGGAGGAGGGAGCAAAGGCAGGAGAGAGAGGGAGAGATTCACTTTAAATTGATGACAGATAAATTATTCTAGTTATGGAGTCCCTGTACCTAAATCACAATGTTAACAGCGTTTACCTCTTGACAGCCTGATTCCGTGTCAGAAAGGACGTGGCCTGCTTTCTTACAAATGTAAAAAAGTGTTTCTTCACAATTTTTAACTTTCCAGTGTCCCTCCTAAGGGGAAAAATATTACAAGGTGAATGAAAACACTCCATTATTGATGCTGAGAGGCAATAGCAATTATTTTGAATAAAAATATGATTTATAATAAGTATTTCAGGCAGGGGTAATGTGTCAGCACCTTCTGTCGTCATTAGAAAGGGTTGATTCTCTCTTTACGTGTGAGTGGGAGGCCCTGCTCTCTCTCCAGTGGGTAAACAATTTCAAGACATGCAATCCTGGATTGGTGGGCAGGAGAGGAGGAGCAACCAATGTTTCTTGATTGTGTGCCAGGCTTAATGTGGGGTGATTTTCATATATTATCTCAATGCTCCTGTGAGGTGGGCATTATGATTCCCATTTTAAAGGTTAGGTTTAATATTTTGCACAAGGTCCTATAGTCAGTAAAAGTTGGAGCTAGGATTTAATACCAAGCTCAGTCTGACTTTACAATAGGCTGCTCTCAATTTTTCTTTCAAAGAGATGGGATAGAGCAGTGATCCTCAATCTTTCGTGTGCAGCAGAACCATGTGGAGGGTGATGACTGGGCTCCATGATCAGTGTCTCATTCAGTCGGTCAGGTGGGACCTGAGAATTTGCATTTCTGACAGGTTTTCAGGTGACATTGATGCTGCTGGTCTGGGCACCCCACTTTGAGAACCACTTGGATGAAGCCATCCCCCTGACCAAGTGAGAATGCTGCCTCCTTTCTTCAACCACTTCTGAGCGCTAAATTGATTGCTTTACTGGTTACAAGTATAAACCTGATGCTGGGGAAATGCCTGGAAGCTACCAGGAATCATCCTAGATAACATTCTCATCGCCGAACGTCATGTTCAACCCCCGATATCTTTCTTCATCACTAATTTTCCAAAGCTCCACTCCATTTCCTCTTTATATAACAGGCAGATACATTCATGTCTTCGCCTAGTTCTACTGAAGGCTCACAACCTTCATTAATAATGAAATACAATAACTGCTAACAGATTAAAATTTTATCCTCCCAAAGGATTTTTTTATTTCAACACAAATCAGACCTTTAGGCTAAAACCGCACAATTTAAATTTTAGGTGGTATCTCAGGCATGCAGGGTTTTAGGGAAATATGGAGTCCTTCCATGACCCTCAGAAACATCCTATGAAGGAGGCTGACACCTTCATCTATAAGAGCAGCCTGTAGCCCTCCCCTGTGGAGTATTTCAGGAAACCGTCCAGTAATAAGACAGTGTCAGGCATACCGTAGTTGTTTAATAACTATTGAATGGATGGATGAACAAATAAATAGTTTCCTAGGCTCTCACATTCAAATTTAGGCTTCAACCATGCTTAGGTAACTCATTAATTATAGTAATTATATTCATATTGAGTTCTACTTCATGAGAATACATGGTACTTTTTATTCATCTACTATTTAAGGAGCTACTGAGCTGCCAAAAGGGGGCCACAACATATCACACTCACAGCAGCATTGTGCTGACACATCCAATAATATTAACACCTATCCTCATTGTCTTAAAAATAACTTCTCTGTCTAAATGTTGGCTCCTGTTCTATAAACATGCTAAGTGAGATACCCATGTCTGTCAAATAAAAAAGGAGAATGCCAGTAGGAAATGAAGGTCATCTTAATTATATCAAAACCAATAAACCAATGAAGCATTAAATATTGTAGAATAAACTGTGGTGGCTTTCAGCAGAGTTAGACCCAAGCAAGCATTTAGAGAGGTCATTGTTTGTCCCTCCTCAAATGTGACTCTGAGACACTGCCTAAGCATTATAATTATAACTATGCACATCTGTGACAGCCTTAAAAGGTAAAACAATGAAACATGTCATAAAAGTAAGTGCCTAGAAATTTTCCATGTTTGCTTGGCACAATTCCTTTGTCAAGCTACTTAAGTAACATTTAATAAACTGCTTCTTGGGGGAAGTTGCTATGGTTTCCTGGTGGTTTGAAAGAGTGAGGACGCCTATCAAATCCCTGTAACGTCCGAAAACTCAGCCAGTGAGTTCAGCAGCTATCTGATCAGAGAGACTAAGTCTGTTCTAAACATATAATAGGCCCTTCAAATGGCTTGGGATTAAACTAATTCTGTATAATCAGATGTTTATATAAATGAGAGACTAGAGCTTAGGGATAAGTGTGATGCTGAGGCCACTGGGACCTTATAGTCATGTGAGGAAAAGAGCAAGATTTTCCACTAGTTCACAGTTTTCAAAGAGGTTGCACACACTGTTGAAATCTTTTTATGTTAATAAGATAGCGGACCTTAAAAACCATCACTCTCCAGAGTAAACTCCCAACACCTCAGTTCTTCCCCTCGTCTTCACTATGGTGGTCAATGGCACCACCATCCACCAAAATGGTGGTCACTCAAGCCAAAAACCTACCTCTCTTTCAACCCCCCATCTAATTTAGCAACAATTCCTATCTTCCAGAGAATCACTGAATCTGTCTGCTTGTCTCCATACTCACTACACTCTAATTCAACCACGAAAGTCGCCTCCAAAATGGTTTCTCTGCTTCCATTTTATCCCTCTCCAATCTATTCTCTACTTAGCAGCCACAGTTACTTTAAAAATGTAAATCAGATCATGCCCTTTGTCTCCCTGAAGCCCTTAGTGGTCTGTACTGGGCCTATGAGCCCATCTCCTACCACCCCCTCGCCATTCATACCTTCACGCCACACTGGTCTCCTTTTTGATTATGGCCTTGGTCCACCTTTGGGCTTTGCACTAGCTGCCCCATGCCTGGAGTGTTCCTCCTCTTGTCTTCAAGAGGTTTTTTTTTTTCTTCTTTAAGTCCTAGCTTAAATGGCTTCTCTTCAGAAGCCTCCCATGACTGTCCCGTCTGAAGGAATTTTTTCTCACCATCGTGTCACCTATTTCCTCAGAGCTATCATGACAACTATCATCACCATGCTTTTTCTGGGTGCACATGTTCACTGCCCAGCATGGAACCCCCATGAGGAACAGGAACTGTGCCTGTCTTGGTCTCTGCCACAGTCCAAATCCTTGGCACAGATGGCCTTCAAAACAAGTCCAGCAAACTGAGCATTGAACAAATGAATCAACTTACAGATTGCTCTGCTGAGACACACAGATGGCTTCTATTTGGAAAAATTTGGGGCTCAAATGTGTGCCAATTAGTAAAGGTGACTGAGGAGCCATTAGACCATTCAAAAGAAACTGGAATTTTACTGCTGCTCAAACCAATCCATGTTTCAGAGGCATTTTCTGTAAGAGATAAATGTAAATTACTTATAGGAATCCTAGAATCTGCAAAGGAGATAAGGCACTGGGGCTATTACCAAAATATACCACTTTGCGTGTGATTACTTCTTTATTTCTTCATGTGATGAAATCTGTTTAAGTCTTGGTATAAAACACCTGCTTAAATCTTTTCCCCCCATCCTGTCCAGTCAGCTTGATATTGCCCTTATATGTGAGGCAGAGTGTGACCTAAAAGCAGTACAAGGACACAGCTTAAGCAAGTCAGATTGCTTGGACTCTAATTAGGTCCTGCTACTGTATGCAAAGTAGATCTGAAAAGTCTGGTTTTGCTTCTGCCCAGAGAGAGGAAAAGTAAAAAGGTCCATTGGATTAGGAAAAGGGCACTTTAAAAAAAAACAACTTTTAATGGTAGTCTAGCTTTAAGATACATTTTTTCTTGCTTTTTTTTTCCCATGGTGAAAAAGGATCAGAAACTCTTAGAAGCATTGAAATGGGAGCAATGGGCTTGCTGGAAAAGTAAACAGTTTGACAGCCCTGGTAGGCTGAAAAGACCCGAGGTTGCTGAGAGAGCTGTTCAAGTGCCCCTATTGAGATAAAGGCAGCCACAGGATTCTTTTAATCCCAAATGCAAAGGGTGAAGAAAAATAACAGAGAAGGATTTTTGTTTTCACTCTGAACTAAAACCAGCATTGGAAAGGTCATCAGAGTAGACTCTGGAGATTTTTTTTTATTTAAAAAAATTTACTCAAAGTCAGTGATTTCAATGTTTTGCAGCAGAATCCTATGTCAAATACATGACATAGGTAGCAGCAGACGTACCCTAATGGACTAAAGCTGGGTGGAGGCCTAGGAGCTTAGAATTCCTGAACATGGCACACTGTTTGAAAACCACTACACCAAATAAATTATCCATTTTCACTGGCTAAAGTTATTTAAGCCAGCCCCGGTGGTCTAGTGGTTAAGATTTGGCGTTTTCACTCCCGCGGTCCAGGTTTGTTTCCTGGGCAGGGAACCACACCACCTGTCTGTCAGTTGTCTTACTGTGGCAGCCTGTGTGTTGCTGTGTTGCTGGAAGCTGTGTCACCAGTATTTCAAATACCAGCAGGGTCACCCATGCTGGACAGGTTTCAGCGGAGCTTCCAGACTAAGACAGACTAGGAAGAAGGACCAGAAGGCTGGCACCCACTTCTGAAAAGACTGGCCATGAAAACCCTGTAAATAGCAGTGGAGCATTGGATGATATAGCGCTGGAAGATGAGAGGATGGCGCAAAAAGACCAGGCAGGGTTCCGCTCTGCTCTATACAGGGTCGCTAGGACTCAGAATTGACTCCATGGCACTAACAACAACAAAAGTGATTTAAATCCAATTATTTGTCTAAGGAATTCCCTTTATTGCTTGGATTACACGACCACAGCACACTACTGCTATGTAGTGGCCATAAAGCTAAATTACAGGTTCAGATTTTTTCATTAGAAGTTTCAGAAATTATCTTTGCCCCTTGAAAAAAATTTTAAAAATCTAATATATCTAGCATATGTGAGATGACACAAAATTTCTGAATACGTATTTTGTAAAAATCCAATAAATTTTCACTCCTGGATATTTTTTAGAAACTTCATAAATATGTGCCATAAATAATCACTTTTAAATAGCTTAATTTCTTTTCAACTCCACTAATAAAGATAGTTACTACATTTTATTTCATACCTCTGAAATCATGGACAGTTGGCACTCACCATCTCCAAGGAGGGTAACAAGAAACTCCACGTCTGCTAACGAAGCTATGTCTATTAGTACACTGTTATTAGATTGGCAAGAATGCAAAGCCTCATCCCAGGTCTTTTCTTCTTTCTGAAGTTTATAGCAATTACGATTGTGGGGATTCCAGCCAGGCTCACAGTGGGTAGCATAATATTTCCAAGCATCTTTTTCTTTTTAAACCGACAAAAAACAATGTCATTTTCCAAAATTATTTTAACACTACTTATTACTTAACGTAAATTACCCTTAATATATGATTGTTTTTAAAACTTGAAAAACAGAAACATATGAAACAATAACATATAGCTCATAGAATTCTAGATCTTCAGAGTTGAGAAGGATCCAATCTACGATCTAAACTTCAGATCTAACGAATCTCAGAGCTTCATTTTCCAGATGAGATATCTAAGGCGCAAAGAGGTAAGGAGACTTTGTAAAAGTCATACAGCCAAAGCTGAAAGTCAGGGCCAGGTATAAGATTTACCAGTTTGAGTTGTCCATTTTTTAACTATTTTTACACTGAAAAAGGAGTATTATGAAACACAATTTAAATGGTATCCCAAGGATTTTATGTACAGTATGTAGGTTGGGATAAATATTTATCCTCAGCTGAAAAGAGTCTGAAATTCTGGCCACTTCCTCTAGAGCAGAGATGACAAATAGCTTTCATCCTGAGGGTCATTCTGAGTGCCTGTGGTGTCCCACTGGCCTCTGGGTCAGGCTAACAGGAAAACAGTGCCAGGATGCTTTGACATTGTTGGGGAAGGCAGTGGTGTGCATGCCAAGTTGTGGCTCTCCTCTTCCAGAAGCTTGTCCCCAACCTGGTGATAACATTTTTACTCCATTTTATTAACCACAATGGGTGCCTCCCTTAAGCAATAATTTAGTTAGGTACAAACTCACTGCTATTTGGGAAACAAGACATTCTTTTAAAATTGCCTCTAGGACTCTGACAGCAATTAGAATCACAGTCAAAGAATGTTAGAACATTTAGATATCACCTACCCCAGTGGTTCTCAACCTAAAAAAAAAATAGTCACGGAACCCCTTTTAAAAATGTAACCTTAAACTCACACTAAAGGTAAGATAAAAAGATGAAAGAGGAACTTCTCTGATTGATGCAAAGGCAGAGCCACGCAAGGAACCTGGGGATTCTAGAAACACAGTTTGAAGACCCTGGACCAGATCATCAAAGGAATTTGTTGAACTTGAAGCAACAGCAAATAATCCAAACTTCGTGTAACTACCCTCATTTCTGGTCTTCTGACCTCAATTAGTAGATTGGGAGAATCAATAAAACAGAAGAAAAGGAGGAGGGAGTGTAGGCGGCATAATAAGGACAGAAAAAAAGGAAAAAATGGAGAAAGTAAGATGAAAGAAGGAAGAGAGGGAGAGAAAGGACAATAAGAGCTATAGCAATTTCAGCAAATTCTTGAAATAATGAAAAAATTGCTACATAAAAAAATGGCTCGATGCTTCTTCTCCCCCCCCCCCCATATTCTACAATACCCTTAGGCTTAGCTACTTAAAAATGAAAGTTAAAGCCTACTTGTAAAGGATAATATTTAAAAATGATAACTCAGCTTATTTTTTTAAATGTAGAGTTGTTTCTAATTATGCTGGTAATGATTCTTTTCAAAATGGTTATGTTTTTATCTCTACTTTCTAAGACATTAATTCCCACAGAAACTAAAGAGGTAATAGATCTTAAAAACAGAAATAATTGGGTTTCAGGTACTAGACTGTAATTAGGTAGTATTTAAGTCTTAAACACACCTAAAAGTTTTGTATGTTATTTTGGGGAAGAGGATGTGTTACTAATAAGAGATATAGAGGGCAATAGGAAATCAATGAAGTAAAGAATTTTATAAAACTATTTTCTAACATATATTTAATTTCTAGAGTAACCATAAATAAAACTCAAAACTAGAATAGAAAAGGAAGTATATCTTTGTTTTTCGAAGGTGGAATGACTAAGAATGCAAGTTTTTTAAAACCAGAGGAAGAAAATTTTCTACACTTAGGTTATTTTGCTTTCATTTTTAGGAAAAATCTAAATGCATTTGTTAAATTCAGATATTAACAGATATTATCTAGTTACATATTTTTGTTCATATAAAAACTAGCCTTAGCTAAGTTTAAATGTTGAATTATTAGCAAAAAAAAAAAGAAAAATTTGAATATATTGAGAAGATAAGCAAGCAACTCATAAAAACGAGTTTTTTTAAATAAAAAACACTTACCGACTCCTCCGTGATCGCTGTGGTTTAGGTATTTTTTACACACGTAAGGCAGGGTGGCCTCACAATCCCGACTCCTCCAGCCATTTGGCATAAATGGATCAAATGTTCCACAGTGATATTCAGCAAATGGCTCAAAGTTTATTTCTGAAAATACAATGTGTGTGTTTAATGTTAGAAGCAGAAGCGGTTAGTTTAATGTGTACTGAAATGTAGTTTTAGCATCAAGGAGACAGCCCTTCTCTTCGGCACACATAGTAAATCCTGTAAGATGTTATACCTATGATTTTGCAGTTGAAGCCCAGGCACGACAACGAAATGATTTTCCAAAGAGAGCAACAGCTGATTTTATTGTTTTAAAGTAGAGAAATAGTTTGCAATTTGTTGCTATTTTTAAAACAGCTGACTGGAATCTTGGCTCTGACCCAAATCCTCCTGCGACATTGGTTACATAGCTTACTTGCTTGGCCTCCATTTTCTTGTCCGGAAAAGCTTGCCTCATAGGATTCAGGCAGGCTTAAAAAACGTTTATAAACCACTTTCAAAGTAACATGTCTTATTATACGTGGGCAATACTACTCTTTAAGGCTGTGGGATGGTGCCACCTGTAGAAGGTAAATAACACGCCGTGGGTACCTGGGTTCCAGCTCAGATAGTTGAGTGGTGTTCTGTCAGACCACTGCCAGCCAGCATTTTCATCCAGCTGATTCAGACCTATCCACACTTCCGCTTCGCTGCTTAAGTGCTCTGAAATGAAGAGAAATATGCAGTTTCAGAAAAAAAAAAAAAAAAAATCAATGTTACGCTTCTTTCTTGTTTTCCTATTCCTGGAGCATGCAGTCATAAATTAACTCCAGTCAATGACAGACAAGAGTTCAAGTGCTACTAAGCCCCACCCTGATGCTTCAGAGCAACAAAGCTGGTCTCCTGCTGCCTTGAGAAACACAGCAATCTCCTAAAGGCTCACTGACAGAAGCTGTGAAGTGCTTAATCTAAGCATCCAGGAATGCTGCCTTTCAATGGTGGTCAATCCATCCAAGAGTACATGGTCACAAATCTGAGACCATTTGAGTTGTTGAACTCGTGCACTTAAGGGTTTTAGCGCGAGAAGGAGGAAGTGTCCAGGGCCACTCCCAGAAAGCGCCCTTCTGTCTTCCTTCTCTTGCCGTGTGTGCCCTGTGGCCCCAGCTTTGAGGCTCGGGACCCCAGTACTCTGAGGTGGCTACAGGCCCTGAGCAAGAGGAATGGGAGAAATGCTGTTAAATCTGTATAACAGGTATGTGTGTTTGCACATATAATTTTCTGCACTTTTCAATATTTTTGCAATATTTCACAGTTAAAAAATTGAACAATTTAAAGAAGCTTTTCTTCAGGGAAGGAATAGGAAAGCAGATAAATATTGTTGGTGAATGGAGGCAAGTCTTCAACTTGAAGAAGATATGCTAAAGCAGAGAAGGGAGGGAGCTATCCAGTAGGTGTTGTCTGGCCAAGTGGAGCAGCATAATCCAAGGGACCAAAGTATCCAGAGAGATCTATAGCAGGTTGGGACATACGGGCCATGTGTAATGCAAACGCACGAGCCTGCTCCTTCAACTTGGGGTGGCAGCAGGTTTTCTGGCAGGCTGGCTGTGTGGCCCCCGCTCCTGACCACTGCACCACAGATCCTCATGTTCTAATTCGATACCGGTTTTGCTATAAATGCTGTATATAAACACGTGCATTGACATGCTTCTGCAGAAAAATACGGTTTAAAATCATAGAATTAGGAGAAACTTTAGTTTTTTGTTTTGTGCACTTGAATTTTAAAAATTGGTCTAGAATAAAGATGTATTACTTGTGCTATAAAATTTGGGGACAAAAACAGAGGCAGAAACTTCTAGTGAAAATGACTAATTTTGTGACACTTTCAAATGTTGCCATTTAATTTTTTAATCCATAAAAAAGAACATTGTTCTCTTATGTTTCATGTGCTTCAGAACGCAGTTTATTTTGAGCCAGATGCAGGGGCCCTGCCTGAGACTGAGCCCCTGACAGATAAGAGTTATAAATAGGATGAGAATATGTCCCAGTTTGCCTGGAAAACTCATGGTTTATGCTAGTAGTTCCAGAATAATTATTAATCGCAGTCCTTTTTACTCTCAAAAGAGCCTCAGTTTGAATGATCGATTGTATGGTCACCCAGGTTATAAAGATTAGTGAATTCACATAAAAAGGCTGCAGCATGCTCTGTGATTAGGCATTTCAATACAATTGTGGAAAACTGGAAGAACCTAACCCACTTAAGGAAAGCGAAAAAGGTGCTTTATAATTTTGAGACCCTAGAAATCTCTAAACAGAAACAGCATAACATTCATGGGCCCTGCCCTTCCAAATTTCTGTGGCGTGAACACGGAGTTTCTTCCTAATGTCGGTTGGATTAATTCTTTCAATAGCACCACTTGAGTAAATCATGTAACAGGCATCCTGATGACACGAGGCAGAATGGAAGATGGATTGACAAGAAGGAGAAATTTTCATATTTCATATTGGGGTAAGTGCCAAGTGATATCACAAATAATCTACTCAAAATGTTTAAATATTAAGTATTCTTATGTTATTTTGAATACCCTCTGTGTAATTGTTTTAACAATACACATAAAAAATCATTTTGTAATTTATAATCTCTGTTTAAGTGTACCAAAACAATCTTTTTAGGTTTACAACTAAATTGCCTCACAATTTTATAACAACAAATTCAAACCTAAATTCCTTTGGCTATTTCTCGGCATTCGTGACAGCTTAGGTAATTCCTTACACCATAGCTAATGTCCATCAGTGATTAGCAAGAAACAGTAGACTATTCTCATCATTGAAAAATACCTGGCTCAGAACAGGCTTCTGTCTATGTGAATAGACTTCTGTTTTCCTAAACAATCCCCAGAGTCTAATTATAGAATTGTGGTATTTAAATCAAAGTCTCTAGGATATCTTATTTCTTTAATCGTTATTCAAGTTTGATGAGTAAGTCCAAACCCTCTTATTAAAAACCCAGCAGTCAAGATAGATAGAAATTTTAATTCACAAATGGTGTGCAAAATTTTCTATAAAAACCATTACAGGCTAATAATGATACAGAAAATGGGTGTTTTCCTGCAATACGACTCACTCAAATCAGTTTTTATGATTAATTTCCCACTTTTGCATGTCTGTGGGGAAAGGGGCAGGCACACACTGCTCACGAATTTGTTACAATCCTTCTGGAAGGTCTTAATAACTTTCAAAAGCCTTAAAATGTGCTTCCTCTTCCACCCAGTGAATCTACTTCTACAAACTTATAGAGAAATAACTGGGGATCTTTGCACAAAGCTATGTGCAGGGATGGTTTATAATAGCAACGAATAAATAAATAAAAACGAAACAAGTAATTTTGTGTATGTATCCCTATCTAATAATAGGAGATTAGGTAAATATATTATTGCTAACCTATAATACTATGTAACTGTTAAAAATTACGATGTAGATCTATATTTACAGACATGGACAGATGTTCATTACATGCAGGTAAATTAAATAAGCATATTACTAAACTACGTGCAAAGCTGTTGTTAAATGGTTAACACACATGGAGTGTTTGTTTTGGTGCCAGGCACTTTGCTAAGACTTCACCTGCACTATAGCATGTAACCTGCACCACCAAGAAGTAGGCGTTGTTATCATTTCCATTTGATAGAGGAGGGAAGTTGAGGCACAGAGAGGTTAAGTCACTTACCTGTTCAGCCCTGCTAGTAAGGGGTAGAGGCAGGATTCAAACCCAGGCAGTTGGCTCTCTGGTCCCTGCTCCTAACCACTGTGCAACAGCTGCCTCATGTTTTAATTCAATACCGATTTTCGTAGATACTATATATGCATGCATTTATGTGTTTTTTACAAAAGAACATGGTTGTCTCTGGATTGTGGAGTTATGGGAGACTTTTCTTTTGTTTTTCTTTCTGTATATTTGAAATTTTAAAACTATTCTAGAATAAACATGTTCTACATGTGCAATAAAATTTGGAAAAAAAAGCATCAGAAACTTTTGATGAAAGTGGCTAATTTTGTGGCACTTTCAAATGTTTCCAAAAATTTTTAAAAAGCTGTATGTACACAGGTACAAACACATTCAGTCTATAAAGGAACAGTAAGAGCAGTGTTTAGGTGATAGGTGAAACACAAGACCCAGCCTATTAGCACAACTCTTTTGACATCTTACATTATGTTAGTTAACATTATGTTAGTATGTGTGTTTTTGCTTTTCCAACTAAATTTTAAGTTCTTTGGCATTCACCAGAAGGCCTACGGCTAACCTGTGCACAGTGACTAATAGGTAATATTTTGTTTAATTAATAAACAACTTAGTTATTCATTAACGGAAACTGAATGGCTAAGATCTGCAGCAGAGCAGGAATTTGTCCTCAAGTTTAGAGTCTCCAGATCCACTTGTAAGAGCTGCAAACTCTCCTGGGTCCCTCGCTGTGCCCTCAACTTCTCTTCTCCAAGGGAGAGGAAATAAGGAAGACATGATCAGGTACCAAATGGAATGCCCTAGAGTTTAGGTCAAAATCTGGGTGTGAGTTTGGATCATGTTAATAAAAGAAAAATATTTTCCCAGCTACTTTTTTTTCCCCAGAACTTATCTTCGCATACATGGACATAACTATTCACAACAGTAATTTTAATTGTATTAATATCAATGTGCATCATCCACCTACTTACTCCTTACAAAATTCTCTTCAGTCTCATCTGCAATACTTAGTAAAGCACCTCCTTGCATCTGGCATGACGAATGAGCCTCGCTCCAGGAAAGAGAGGAAAGCAGGTTGAATTGGTAGCAAATGTGTGAATTCGGATCCTTCTCCCAGACAGCATCACATCCCACCTCTGTAGATGCTGGAAACAAAATCCATTAAAACATTAACTATAATCTTATTTTATCTATACATCAATATGTTTCTGAGATGAATTAGAATGGAATGATTCCAACTTGCAACCTCTAAAACTTCAGTGCATTATTGATTCTTGATAGATCTTCAAGATGAAATTTGCATTGTTATCCCATGGGCATTTTATGGTTAAACTCTTTTAAGACTTTATGGAAATTCAAGAAATTATCAATAAAGAGGTTCTGTTCCTTTCTGGGAAAATAATAGAAGCCATTTTAGAGAAGGCAATGAAGTGAAGCATTTGGGAAATAACATCTGAGTTCTTTAAAAAGCAATCATTTAGAACTTTATACTGAAAGCTGTGTGAATTTAAGGGTTTATTTGAGATAGAATCAAATGTTGTTTCAAAAGGCTTTTTTCCCCTCAATACTAAATTCTAGATGCAGTAGAAATATGAGTCTATAATGAACACAAGTTTTCAAATAAACATTGAGAACAGGAACATTGATATTTAAAGAAAGTTCTTTCAGCCAAAAGAAGAGAAGCAAAATCCACTGGTAAAACATTGGCCAAGGATTGCATAGTATGCTTAAAAGTAAATTTAATAAAGTATGAAATGTGGGTCTGAAATCTGAAGTTTATTGAAATAACAGAAAATGAAGACCTAGTTTGGGGGCTTTTGCTAAAATTTTAAATCAAACTCCAAGGTGAACTAAGCAGCCATAATATTTACCTGAAATCAAACTCAGCCAAAGAATTTCAGAATGTAGAAAATGTGAACCATGCTACAGCATGAGAATAGCTGATGGACAAGCAATCTCTAAAATCTAGAACAGCCTTTCCCGAAGTATAATCCACAGAGTAATATAACTTCAAGACCTTCTCAAGAAAATCTGGGATATAATGCATATATAGCCTCCCCTGGGAAATTCATTAAATACATTACCATATAAAAGGCTCTGAGAAGTTCTGTAGTAAAGAAACACTTAATTTTAACTCAGTATACTTTGAAGTTATTTGACAATGAAATCTTTTTTGTTTATTTTCTTTTTCCCACCATCTTAGTTAGATGGTTCCCTCGGGAATGTGGAAAGTTTGTTTTCATGTCTGGTTGCAACGTGCTTTCCCCAGAACTGAAGTAGTTAACCAGAAGTTATTAAAACACTTATAGATCTAAGGTTGTCTATAGATTTGCCTGACTGACACATGTATTTGTAGAAGGATCCAAGATTGAAGGAGGGCAGAAGACGGGGTTATTGTTACCAAGTAAAACTGAACGAAGGGAAGAGAAAGGAAGGGAAAGATAGGAGGAAATTTTCAGTAATCATCTTTCCCTGGCAGCTGAAATTTCTAAGGCTGAGTCCCTAGAGACGGTCTTCAGTTAAAACGCTAGGCCATCCCTGAGATGGACAACACTAAGCGTTATCAGACATCAGTTCAGCCCCGTTCATCCAGTGTGACAGCTGAGGCCACGAGGGAGGAGCAGGGAAGTGTCTGCAATTCCAGTGTGCATAAGAATCATTTGGCCAGCTTGTAAAAAAATGCAGATTCCTTGTTCTCAGTCTCAGATTCTGAATCAGTAGGTCTGGGGTGGGATTCAGGAACCTGCATTTTAAACATATTCCTGATTCTCAGGCAGATGGTCTATGAAGCAAATACTGGGAAATAATGATCAGAAAGAAAAAATTCAAAGCACTTCCCAAGGAGGGCACGTCTGAGTAGCCTTTGACTGCTAGAAAATAGTAGGATGGCAGAAGGGGAGACGTAGGGAGAGGATGTCAGAAGGGGAGATCTGGGAATAGGGCACCTGCCTCTCATCTCCTGCTGTAGAGAAAGATTTGACAAGTCCTAATTATAAGCCACCAAACCACAGCCCCGTACATGATAAGAAAAGGTCTGGAGGACACTTCAACTGATCTTATTTCCATTTTTGCCAAGAGTTGGTCTTGCCCTTTAACTGGACATAGATCAAGCTATGTAAACACAGCCCTTTAAAGTAACCTGCCTGAATTCTATGTATTAAACAGTTAAGATGAGAGACTTGCAGGTGATCTCATCTGTGCTGCAAGTTATGTAGCCCAGTTTTGTTAAATTTTCCTTGGGTTTGGATTATCTGTGCCAATTCTCAAGGTTAATCAAAAGGAAACTCCAGTCAAATATTTGCAACATGTGCCCATATTCTCCTAACAAGTAAGTTCATTTGTCATTGAAATTTGGTTTTAACTAAAATATAAGAATTTATATTTCTATGCAGGGAGACACAAGTCCTCTCCCTGCTTCTCCAGGTGGGCTGCATGGCGCTCCATGGACCTTATTTGAAGGATGTATGGTAACAAGTGGAATGAAAATGCCACCCCGGGCCCAGGCGCTGTGATGGGCTGCCCTGATTGCCCTTCAGGACAAAAGGCCTTATTTCCTCTGCTCAGCAGACACCTTTCAATGTTAAACCTTCTTCAAAGATTGACTTGCCTGAAGAGTCTCTCCCCAATGTCACTTGAACTTCCCAAGGGCAGCTGGTAAACCGCGACTAGTCAGTGCAGGGCTATCAGGCCCCTCCTCTCATCCCAAGTAGGGGCAAATCCAGCTTGACAACTCCTCATATGGTCAGTCTAGAGGTCGCCAGGCCTTCATCACAATCCTGTGCAATCCTGCTCTCTTCCCTTCCTTTCCATGTCTATTAATCCTGACAGCACTTCCCAAGAGACCTCCCGCATGTTCCTCTCTGCCTCAAAAATTGCTCCCTGGGAACCCACTTGGCACAGGCACCCATCTTGGCCTGGGGCGTATGCATTTATTCACTCTTAGTTCTCTTGCTTCTTCATATATAATCTCTCTTTCCAAGCCACTGAAAATGCAACATTGAAGCCTGGGATCTCAGGTATATTTAATTATTTTTGAAAAATTCTAATCTAAGGGCTAGAATCATATCATTATATTTCTTTGCATCTTTGGTTATCTTTATATTATCTCTTTGGTTTCTAAATTTGGAGCTCTTTGAGGGAAGCAACTGTGTGGTATATCTTTGTATCTCCTAGTTTTTTCTACTCTCTTTTTTTCTTTTTTTTGCTGGGAAAGATTCGCCCTGAGCTAATATCTATTGCCAATCTTCCTCTCTTTTCTTTCTTTTTTTTCCCCTCCCGAAAGCCCCAGTACATAGGTGTATATTCTAGTTGTAGGTCCTTCTAGTTCTTCTATGTGGGTCACCGCCAAAGCATGGCCACTGACAGAAGAGTGGTTCCACGCCTGGAAAACGAACCCAGGCCACAAGAGTGGAGCACGCCGATCCTTAACCACTAGGCCATCAGGGCTGTCTCTGTATCTCCTATTATTTGATGAAAGATTACCAAAATCTTTTGCATGAAGTTATAAATAGGTGATTTTTCCCCTTCCAAAATATACCTCTCTTTTAATGAACTGAGTTATATTCATATCAGCACTGATTTTATTATGGATTATGACTGAGACGCAGCCATTCCTCCTTCTCCATTAATGAGGCTTGTTTTTCTTCCCTAAGGATACAGCTTTGCCATCGTCCCAGCTGTGCTATTTCTTGCCACTTTTTAAAATTGTTGAATTCTTTTAAAAAAGTGAATTCTTCTACTATTAGAGCAACTCCAAGCTACAAAGTTACTATTTTTCTCTCTCTTTGGTCTTTCATATACTCAGCAAACAGTTATTGAATATCTGCTTCCCGCAAAGTGCTGTGTTGGTAAATCTCGTGTAAAAGAGGTATCAGACCAAGTCAGGACTTCTTGCTATACATTCCCAATGCCTTACACGCTCCTTGGTAGCCTTGATCACAACTGAAATTAAATGATGCGTTATGTGATTGCTAGTTGATTGTTTCTGCTGACAAAATGTAAGTGTCAGGAAAGCAGGTACCATGTTCCATCTTGTTCATGTTATTCTCCAAGTTTGCCCATCAGCATTTAAACATTATTGGGTAGAAGAGAATATGCTATCAAAGGAAGCTGAGAAGTGGCGGCCACAAAAGAAAGAGGAAAACTGGTAGGTGTGGGCCACAGAAGCCCAGAGAAAGAGTTGGTGTCAATTTTGTTACATGTTGCTGAATCTTTGAGTCCGATGAAGACTCAGTCCATCAGTGACTTTATGGGATGCTGTTTCAACAGAGGAACCCAATCATCTGCCTTCTCTGTGCCTTCACCCAACAAATGAGCACTACCAAGAAAAGTCATTTCCAATTAGTGCATTATCAACTACATCCATACTTTCTGGAAACATTAGTAGTTTTCTCTAGCAAGCTTGCTCTCCCAGCAGCCACAATGACCATTTCATGCCTTTCCTATTGCCCAAACTTCTCACTCCTTCTTCTCCCTCTTCAGAGAGAAAGTCCACAGCCACTGGACTAGTTTCTCCTCATTTTCTCCCATTACCTAATCCATCAACTTTCTTGGACCGGTACTATCCTTCCCTCTCCTCTCCTACAGAGAAATTGTCTTTATATCTATAAAAGGCCAGTTTGTCCATCTATGATCTGGACCCTACATTGTTCTGTCTTCTGAGAGACCACACATACTCCACCAGCTGCTTTCACTTTCCCAAATATTCAACTGCTCTCTGTTAGAGCATTTCCAGATGCATTAAAAGATGGCCTAATATTGCTCATCCTTAAAAAATATGAAACAAAAAAACTCCCTTCCTTGGCCTCCCCATTCCAGTCACTGCCTTCTCTCTACCCCTATTAGTCACATACTTTTATATGCATACTACCTCCAATTCTTCATCTCTCATTTACTTTTTTAAAAACAATAACAGTTTTACTGAGATATAATTAATATACCATATAACCCACACATTTAAAGTATAGAATTCAATGATTTTTAGTATATTCAGAACATTGTGCAACCACCACCACAATCAATTTTAGAACACATTCATTACTCCAAAAAGAAACCCAGTACTCATTAGCAGTCACTCCCTCTTTCCCCCTCAATCCCTCCCCCACCTCCAGTCCAAGGCAACCACTAATTTAATTTCTGTTTTTAT